GAATTCCTTCTGACGTGTCCTCCATATCACGACTCTCATAACGCCTAGCAAGCAAAGGAAAACATAGTGTTCAACCTTTGTCAACGAGGGAATCACATTACTACAGACAGAACTGGCCTCAAGGATGAAAAACTTTCCGTGCAGCATGCAAACCATGATATCTTCGATAAACTTGCCCAACGGTTCTACAATCCTGTAATGAAAGAATGGGTGGTCCATGGTCTCCACAGCTCCATCACAACAAATGCAGTTTGGGGATTTTTCTAAGCCTACTGAACAAAGTCTTTTACCGACCCAGAATCACCAGCCACATGAGGGATACCTCATCTTTGTTGAGGCATTTCAACCTGGGTGTCCAAAGCCATATTGAGCAAGACTCTTTATTCGTAAGACAGAGCTCGTCTATCCACGGACTAACACGTAATATAATGCCATACGAGGAAACGTCTGGACGTAGGAGAGGCCATGCGTTGTTCGTAAGAGGTTTTAGAGCAATTCGATATTCACGATAGAAGGAGCATTCGCCACAGGGTAAACGGAGCCCTCCTCGCACGGATGCACATTTCTCAGGGATGGGAAGTTCTTACGGGTGTCTTCCTTCCAGAATTAAACCTCACTGTCCAATTCCTGACATTCGATTTCGGAATGCGATGCGAAGCGTATGTTGACGAGTCTCAACGTTAGCCGTACCCAGACCGCCTTTAGAAGGGTGGCGGTAACAGATCTCGCGAAGTCACTTGATGGACTTGCTCCCCACAAGGAGAGCAAGACTCTTACACTAATGACATTAGTGTAGCATACGGAAGAGTAATTACGGAGAATCGATAAAAGAGAATCAGGTAGATGTACCAAGAAGAGATCGAGACCGAACCAGACGCCGAGTATCTTGACCGGCCCGTCCGTCCAGAGGAAAGACCCACGTTGAGAAACTCCCTTCCATGTACGCAACCGCTAGCTAACAGACTTATCGCAGTTGATCTTCGCCCCTGTCACCGTCAGCGTACCATATGAAGATTGTCCTGAATAGCCATGCTCTTCACAGCACAAATCTGTTCGGATCCAATCATACTAGAGAGAACAGCCTGCAAACTGTTCGCCTTAGACCTTAGCCAAAATCTTTAACTCTATATTTAACATAGTTAAAGGGCGAAAGTTACTTAAACCACCCCCACCGTTCTTGTTCTTGTGTAGAAATTTGATCAGACCCCTGGTGAAGCGTTGAGGTATAAACCCCTGCTTCATACCGTTGTTGTAAATCAGTTCCAGTAAAGGAACAAGGACGGGCGACTACCTCAAGTACAGTTCGTCGGGTAGACCAGCTTTTCCCGGCCAACCAGCTTCAGCGTTTCCAAGATTTCCGATTAATGGAACCCTCGGACCCAGGCGATTCAGCCGCCTAGAGGCGGGGAAAGTTAGCCAAATAGGCGTCGAACTGAGCAGTTCTCACACCGGGCTCCCTGGTAAACAGATCCTGAAAGTAGTCACGAAAAGCCTCACATATGCCGCGTTTGTAGTCACGGACCGCTTATCCGGTAATGTGACGCACGCGACATGTCGATGGGACGCATTCCTAACTTCCTCTGCACACAATTCAGTAGCCCTATTCGTCGCCTCGGGTGGCACTCTTTTTAATATAGCGCTAACTAAAAGAGCTTGATCCTTCTTGATAAGTAAGGAGGTCAACTCTGCTGTAGCTAAGACTACTTCCCCACTATCACGGGATGTAATCACCCGATCAACTTTTTCCTCACATGCTGTTTGCGCTGATACTCTAACCAGATTGATTAGACGACTATAATCAGAAGCAAACGACCTAATTTTGAATTTTAATTTATCCCACATATTCCCAACCACAGCCCGTCAATCCCTGCTATAGCAATAGTAGAAACTGTTACTAGAAATCTCGCTCACCAAATAATGATGCTTTCAATTTCAAGTTGCCAGCCATCCTAATTTTAGGTTTATCTAAGTTTACACGAACCAGGGCAAGCCAGTGATCCGAGTAAACTATCGAATAAAAACTTGGAAAACCTAAGAGCTCTACATCGATTCTCTTAACTAGGACTCAGTCAAGGTATCTAGAACTCACTGCCGTAGCCGAGCCGCCACCATTTGCCCAAGGGTTGCTCATTACAACAGTAATCGACAAAATCTAACTTGTCCGTAAAGTACCGAAATGGTTTCACATCCCGGTTGTTAGTACCCGATCTTGCCCGTATACGATCTATATCGGGGTCAAGGACGACATTCTAATGCCTCGTTAAAAATACTCGACAAGACGTCGTCAAAAACAACTCGATCCGCCCAAACAAACCAGGCCGCTCAACATGGGGGGCGCATAAACATCAGTGAGACGAAGAGACTTATCCTTTATGGTAAAATCCAGCACGCAAAGCCTGCCAGCTGGATCTGCGAAGACAAAGAGCACACACCGCGTCTAGAGAATTACTCACCAGCCAGGTAACTCCTCTCGAGCGTCAATCAAAACATGCTGAATAGAGGGAAAACCCCCTAGACAGAATGCTCTCACGATCGCGAGTTGAAAACCGGATCTCCTGTACACAACATACATTCACCCCAGGACGCTGAAGATCGCAAGTAAGCCTCATTCTGCGAAACTCCAGCCTCAAGCCCTGAGCATTCACGCTAGCCAACCAGATACATTATCAGATCGATTAGAGTTGCTCTTATGCATTGAACATGGCCAGAGTAAGGACACCGATGGCCTGTCCCATTGAGCCTAGACCCATTTCACTGCTTATGAAGCCATCAGGAGACAGGTTCCCATTGTTTAAGGGAAACATTAATTTATAGAAGGAGGGGAGAACAAAAAGCGAGAGTCTGCCAGCACAATACTGTTGTAAACATTTTACGTTTTCGTTGTCGAATTACGCCAGTGGTAAGCTCGTTGAGATGACGTCGTTGGTCTCCTCGATGATAAACAATATCTGCCGAATGGCAGACATAGATATGTATGACAGGTTTTGGAGAGAAAAATTGTCTCCAACAACACACAAACTTCCTTAGCAGCTGACCTAACAATAGATTCAATATAAGGCTTTCCAGTTCATGTCAGGTGAGAATGTTCGCCCGAGAAGGCCCAATGATTCATTTCCCCCGAGGTTAGCATCAGCCACGTTGATGGAAGACAAAGAAGGATCTCTCAAATGATTAATGGAGAGAAGTATAGTTTTGGCGGCGTTAAAATTAACAACGGATTTGAGCTTGTTTTAGTCTTCGGCTGCCATTTTGACCTTGTCGAACTGATTAGCCTTACTGTTGAGACATATGTCATCAGCGTAGATACCAAGTTGAGAGCTGATGCCATCAGGACAGTTATTAATGAAAATAAAAAAAAGTAAACAAAGTAGGAACAAGGATGGTGACCTAGGGGACACCCGCATTAGTACGAAAGGATCATGGCCGTTCAGGATAACTTTCATTTCAGGATTTGATAGGAAAGACTGTATCAATTCAAAAAAGTGTCCGAAGACACCGTAACTTTTCAGCTTGCGGAGAAAACATGTATGCCAAATCCAGTCAAAAGTTTTCGAGGTGTCCAAAGCGACATCCTTGGCTTCACATTTTTTATCTAGAGTATTATAAACTCTTTTCACAATTATCGTCAGTAAATCAGCAGTTGACCTGGAGAAACAAAAGCCATTTTACTTGCCTGAAAAAAGCCTTGCGACGAGAGGTGATGAATCCAATTCGGCATTAATTAAAGCCTCTAGGTTTTTTCTCAAAGGAGGTAGAAGGATAATGGGCCAATAGGTGGAAGGTTGTGTGGTTCACCCAACTTCTTAAAAACTGGAACAAAAGATGATAATTTCCAGCAGCCACTTTTCACATTTACGAGGAAACTGCAACTCAGCGCGTGAAAAGCTGCCGATGAACCCAGGCTAAATGGAAACATGCCGATCCTGTTTCAAATTGCTCATTAAGTTCCTTTGTAATTAATAAATACATTAGGATTTATGTATGGAATTATGTACTTGAGGCAATTCAACCCAATAAATTTAACTCTCTTTATAATAACAACATTCCTTACATAAATACCCCCTTTGCGTTTACTAAAGTGCTTATGCACCTCAAAATCGTAAACCCATCCCTATTCTAGCTTGATTGTACAATTTAACCCAACATAAGAGCACTTGATGTCTTTGAAATAAAATAACCGTGATCATATTTGTATCTATTTGCATCTATGTGCACCTATTTGTACGCGAGCGTTTTGTGCATATCAGTGTAAGTAGATACATATATCCATACATTAGTGTGTGAATGTACGTATGTATGTTAGCTCTTGTTTGCATATGTATGCGTATGTATATGGGGGGGATCATGTACATTAATAGGTTTTCATATACATGTGTATGCCCAAGAATCATGTGTTTGCGTATATGCCCACGTGTGAGAACATGATAGAGAGTGTGTTTGTTTACGTGTATGTGTCTGTTCTTGTGATCTTCAAGTGGTTGAATATATGTTTGTATGAGAACGCGGGTGCAGATCTTGATAGGTGTGTATGAACTTATGTGTATGTATACAAATGTTTGTGTGCGTATTTTGTAACTTATGACTAATGTCTGTTGTGATAAGTGTGTTGAGACCGATCACGTCTACTCAGCTGTCTGAAGTGAAACAAACGCTTTTACGCAAAAACAGTTTTGAGAATGAAGAAAGTCATCATTTATCTGTTTCTAATGGTCAGACGTCACTGAAATACGATTACCCATGTTTTATGTTTTCTTTATAAGTTATTTTGAGAGAAAACTGAGACAATGTTGTATTTGATATCAACAAGGTCATTTCTGACATGGGTGTTAAGCAGCCTAAGAGACAAACGTAGAGAATAATATATATATATATATATATATATATATATATATATATATATATATATAGAGAGAGAGAGAGAGAGAGAGAGAGAGAGAGAGAGAGAGAGGAAGGAAAAGGGACAACAACGGGGGTGAATGTGTAATAATGTGCAGTGTGGATCATAGAGTAATGAATTTAGAGTACAGAAGAAGAAAGAAATAGAAAGAAAAAAAAAGCTGAGATATTGAGAAAAAGAGAGTTGAAAAAAGGCAAGTTATATTACAGAGAAGGTAGATATGTACAAAAGAGATAGAGATCAACAGAAAGGAAAAGATAAGAGCAAGAAAAGAGAGAGAAAGAGACAGATAAAAAGAAAAGAGAGAGAAAGAGACAGATAAAAAGAAAAGAGAGAGAAATGAGAAATACAACCAATAAATTGATGAGAAATGACGAAAGAAGAAAACAGTTGAAACGTAAATGGAATGAGCATCTGAGAGACAGAAAGAGGGGGAAAGGAGGAGAATTAGAGCGAGAGAAAGCGAGAGGGAAGGTAAAAAATTAGAGAGAGAGAGAGAGAGAGAGAGAGAGAGAGAGAGAGAGAGGGATAGAATGCTTTTCTGTTTTATCAGGTGTGTGTAATCCATGGTCAATTAATCAATCTACTTCTGCAACTCGTCGGACTTTTTTTCGTTTGAAATGAATTCGTCCTATAAAACTGTCACAATCGTGTCTCTTTCAGATAAAGACACTGATCAAGTAAAAAAAAAGGATCTGCAATTACAACAAGTGCTTAACATTCACTAGATGCTGCAAATATTACTTATGCGTATTTAACTGCGTTGTTCCACATTTTTGTAGCTAGTCATCCACTGCAAATTGAATAAACAGTTGCATAAAACTGACTGTTGGTTATTACTTTCGTCTTTCTGCAAAATTGTTTAATTACTTGCTTAATTAGAAAAGACGACAACGATTCAAATAACTAAGCTAAAATTTCTAATTATTTTTTATACTGCGACAAATTAATAAAACTGTCATCTTCCGACATTCTAGTGATTATCGAAAGTACCTGAAGAAAAAGAAAAAAAAAATGAACTTTGGACAGTTTATCCACAAGTTCGAACATAATACTCAACATTTTATCCGTAAGTTAGAAAAATAAAATAAAAAAATTAAACAGACAGAACTTGTCGTTTCTATTTAAAAAAAAAAAAACTTGTTTAGATGAATACTTACTTCCAAAATATATCTTTCACATATATATATATATAGAAAAGAAAAAGAAAAAAAATGATACCTAAGTGATGTAATATGTTATTCTACGACACGTGATCAGTAGTCAACTTTCTGCTTGTCTCTTAGTTTGATATACACTTTATATCTCTTGTAATTAACATATGTGAATAGATACAATCCTATTTACCAATACACTATACATCCCTGAAGCGAAGAGGTTTAATATATTTGGTTGTTATCAATCTCTTTCCCTCTTCCCCTTGAGGTTTTTGTCCTGTTCTTTTTAATGGAGATCTTGGTCTCATTTCATCTTCTTCCGTGTCTGAGTCATTCCGCTATCATCCATAGGCTTGTCTTCTATTACATTACCCGGATCTGATGAACTCATCCTTTCTTCTCTGTCAAAGTCTTCTTTTCATGACGACATCTTTCTCTTCAATTCTGGCTCTTAATTGATCATAATGGGTCATTAGGGTTTTTCCATTTTTTGATATAATATCCGTGTTATGTCCCCTTTGCATGATGAAATTAGCTCTCTCAGAACTTGCTACTTTGTTTTTTTTATACTACATTTTTTATTTGTCGAGTAAGACATTGCTAAAGGAAATTTTATTTGTCTTCCTACTAACACAGATGGATTTTGCAATCTGTCTGCATCGGGAATCATCCTATAACTAAGCAATAACCTTGGTAAGTAAAGATCAATAGTATCTCTACCTGGGGAAAATGCTTTTAATCCCATTTTTACTGTCTGCACCATTCTTTCCGCAATCCCATTAAATTGTGGTTTCTCGTAAGGGATAACAGCCAATCAGCCTCAAACAATTACATAGATCATCATCAGAAAATTCTGATGCGTTGTCTGATATTAATGTTTTAGGGGCCCCATTTCTAGACAATACCAATCTTAGTTTATTGTAGTCGTTTTTCTGTCTTTAAGTGTAACGACTTCAGACCATCCAGAAAAGGTTTCTAATAAAATTAGAAATAGTCCCATGCTATTAATGTGTACATGGTCCATATGAACACGCAAATATGGAATCCGTTACTTTAGGCCGTGAGTTTACTCTCCCTTGTCGAAAATTCTTTATTTCTGCACATTTTGGACATTTGTGAACATATCTTTCTATATCGCGATAATTCCCTGTTCACTATGCCTTCAAGTTTAATCCACTCTGCGTACACGTTATTCCACAATGCATATTATCATGTACAATTTTTTAAATATTTTGTAATATTACATTTCCATTGCATATAACACCGTTTTCCATCGTTAATTTATGCCTTTATTCTTTATAAGGTCTTTCAGCTTTGGTACAATTACTCTACCTGTTTCTCCTTAATCTTTCAGCAATCTTGCTTAATATTGGACCGTGTAGAGTTTCCGATACCAATCTTTGTAGATATGATATGTCAGTTTCAGACCAATGTAATATTTATTCATTTGGAACTTCCATTTATTTATACTTTTTAAATTGTAACCTTGACAGCGCAACGGCATGTAGTATTGTATTTCCTTTTACGTTCTCAATGTCAAAATCATAAGCCATTAATTTTAAAGTCCATCTTAGAATCCTGGATGAAATAACTTTCAGTAGCTCCTTTCTAGTGTTAAAAATAAACTCTAGAGATTTATGGCCCGACTTTAATAAATACTTCTTACCTAATAAGAATTGTCAAGCTCTGCCTGTACTCTAGACAATGGCCAATGCCTTTTTTTCAATATTTAAATAATTTATTTCTACTGCGGTCAATCTTCTTGAAAGATACATTATTGGATGGCCTTATTGTGATAAAATTGCCGATACAGCGCACTCACTCGAATCTGTAGTTAACATAACCTCCTTTCTGGAATCAAAGATTTGTACAACGGGTTTTTCTGCGAGTATCTCTTAAATCCTTAAACGCTAAGCTTTGTCTTCGAGTCCATTTGAACTCACTATTCTTTTTTCGCAGTCAAGTAATTGGTTCTATTAAGGCGCTGCACTTTGGTAGGTATCTATTATAAAAATCAACCAATTCTAAAAAGGATCTTTAGTAGTAATACCAAGGCAAACATCATCTTGATAAATAATCATATTACTGATTTCCATTGCTCTCTGGGAAATGGTACTTGCCGTTTTCACTCCAAAATTCATTTTCATTCATCTTAATAATCTTATAGAGGAGTTTAGTATGCTAATTTCCTCGAATTAATCGCCATCTATATTTGATTGTAGGCTGACCATAGTGAAATTCGAACCCGGGTTTCACAGGCGGAAAGGTAACGCTTTAACCATTTGGCCACGTGCCCATTGAGACATGTCTTACTAAACCCCACCGACAAGATCTGTCGAATACTTATTACATTTTTCCAGTGCGCTTGTAAGCAGTTAAACGTCCATAGAAAATTTTATAATGAGCGTTTTTTTTTTTTTAAATTTTTTCTAGATATGCAATTGTAAGTAAGCTATAAAAATGTAATAAAAAATTAGAGAGATCTTGACGGTCTGATTCAGTGAATTAATTCTTACTGTCAATGTAATTGTCTTACACAGACGCACACACACAAACATGCACATCTACATACTTCAAACATTATTATTTGAAGTAATAAAAATGTCAGATTAAAATTAAATTAGCCCTAACAAATATATATATATATATATATATATATATATATATATATATATATATATATATATATATATATATATATATATATATATATATATATATATATATATGATAGAATTTTTTTGAGATTTGAATAATTTCTCATAATACATACACACACACACATATATATATATATATATTATCTAGGCAGCAATCCTTCATTTATGCATATTTGATTAAAAACGACACAGAAGGTACTACGGTTAGGCTTTTAGTTCAATTTTTCTTGTGTTCGAAAAGAGATTTCTTTTTTGGACACAGAGTGTTCTAGAATTCCGAGCGATTGCTGCTATACATATAGCCATTATTAAAGATGATTTTATTTTTTCAGTTATATTGAGTGTATGCGTTATGTGTATGCTTTTAGTGTGTCATAGAGATGTTTTATTTTCCGAACACGGTTAGCACATTGTGGCCTAATTCGTAGTTAATATTGTTAAGATTGGCTTTTTCTTTTTTTATTATTGGGGCTTCCATTATTCTTAATCTTTTTTTTACATGTGGATGAGGTTAATATGTTTGTATTTTCTACTAGTATATTTCGAATAATATCTGGTAGGTTTGTGCGGGTGCTTAAGGTGGTTAGGCAAGCCATTGTTAATTAGTCTTTGTTATACATTATTGAGTTCTTTAAGGAAGAGTAGTCGAGAGGATGAATTCTGGTGTGCTCTTTATAGGAAAGTTTTTATAACACATCTATTTTGTATCTGACTGGGCATTCACATTTAAAGTTAAGGTGGCAAGTTTCTGCTAGTGGGTTTTTTGTATATAGTTCTCGTAGAATATAGTACCAATACTTATCACCTCATTATATAAAAAAAAATAATCACTAACAGAAACTTTATATATTCTACGAGAAAATATATGTCCGCTATTAAGACGATATTTTTATTTTGGCAAATAACACTAAAGAAATAGATGCACTTAAGACCGCATTTGAGAAAAATCTGTCCTTAAATTTACCTACGAACTTAGTCAAAAAAACAAACTCCCATTTTTAGACGTTCTCGTAGAATATAGTAATAACACTTGTTTTTTTTTTTTATATATAATGAGGTGATAGGTTTAGTTACAATATTCTACGCGAAGTATCCAGATGCCCTACGTTACACCTATCTTACCAGGGCTCTATTAGGACACATTTAAGCACACACACAAACCTACCAGACTCTATTCGAAATATACTAGTAGAAAACACAAAAATAATAACCTCATCCACATGTAAAAAAAGAGATTAAGAATAATGGAAGCCCTAATAATAATAAAAAAGAAAAAGCCAATCTTAACAATATTAACTACGAATTAGGCCACAATGTGCTAACCGTGTTCGGAAAATAAAACATCTCTATGACACACTAAAAACATACACATAACGCATACACTCAATTTAAATGAAAAAATAAAATCATCTTTGATAATGGCTATAAGTATAGCAGCAATCGCTCGGAATTATAGAATATTTGGACAGTTTCTACACACTCTATGTCCAAAAAAGAAATCTCTTGTTCGAACACAAGAAAAATTAAATAGAAAGCCTAACCGTAGTAACTTGTCTGTCGTTTTTAATGAAATATGCATTTAAATTATGACCATGGAATATTAGTGTTTAAGCCTTTTTATCATATCCTTACTCTGTCCTGGACATTGAGTTCTACCTGGATTCTATCCTCTTGGAATTTTTATTCAAAAAATATACATGTATGTGTATGCACCTATGTATATATATTTATATATTTTGCATATATATGTG